ACTATGAAAAATAAAGATATTCATAATGTGGTTGCATTTGTTGTAAATCTGTAACTTTTGAAATCTTACTTAATGATATCTCACAATACAGTAAGCTGCTTCAGGATGAAATCCCTTTTCTGAAAGATACAGAATTACAAATAGGCTGGTGTTAGATCATTTACAATATAGGGGGTTTGTATGCATATTAATCACAGTTATTTGCATATTTCATGAATGTTTAATTATATAACAGCAATTAGCTAGACTAGTTGCCTCCCTAAATTGGGACAGGAATTTTTTTCAAGAAACATTTATTATTTGACATTATTATTACATTGGGGGACATCATTACTACATTGATACTCCTTGTTGTACTATAATGCAGTACAATAAGAATGTAATCTTATGCAATTTTTTGTTTGTTTGCCTACATCCCAATCTGCCACACATTTTTAAAATATGTGCTACAACACATATATTCTATGTAGTTTCAAATGCTAACTACTCGTTTGCTTATTAAATATAATAGTGCTCCAGCAAACTATAAATAATTGAGAACTGAATGGGGAAATTGTTGCCTGGAATTATAGGCTTCATTTATTAGCATTTTAAAAGGTGATATTAGCACTTTCAACATGGCATTCCAGGGCTTTTTTTAACTTTGTTTTACTATTCTTAACTTAGTTTTTCTATTCTAAGCTATTCTTCTTTTGGTTTGTGAAAACCTGTTTTTTCAGCAACTACACAATGGAAAGTATATTCTGAAAATTATTAAACCTCAGATTATGTTACATATGCACATTTTTTAAAAGGTACAAAACCAGCTGGGAAAGAGTAATATAACCCATACATTTGCCCTTGTGGAGCTTTATCTAGAATTAAGTTTTCTATTGTTCAAGTCTCACTGGTAAGTGTCTTTTATTGTTTGATCATTTGCCCATTTTGCAAAGATAAAGATGTCTCTCTCAGATTCAGAGATCAAGTTCTTATCAGCTCCATGTCAAATTCAGGATGCCCAGATTTGGAAGCAACAATAAACACCCATTTTGTGTATCTTTAATGGGGCTCACAAAATAATAATAAATTACTTTAAATACTTTAGGCAAGGCTATTTAAAATTGATTTAATTTTAAAAGTTAGGGGCGCAAGGTATTTCATTAAGTTGCTTCTCATTTCTACCATCATATCAGCCTGTTATGTGGGTTGACCAAAGAGATGGTGACTAAGAATTTTCTGAGACCTGAAACTCCTGGTTCCAGGCCGACACTTTAATAATCACACTCCATATATAACATGATCTGTGGAAAGAAGTGAATGAGGACCCAGTTTGTGGGGGCAATAAGCTGACTTTGTATAAATATACAAAAGGATGAAGGCTATTGCTTAATGCATTGTAAGCCGCTCTGAGTCTCCGGAGAAGAGCGGCATATAAATCAAATTAAAAAAAGAAAAATATTAAGAGTAAAAAATACTTAAACTGGAATGTTCTTAGATTCTCCATCCAGTTAAAAAAAAAACCTTTGTGTTTTCCTTCTGAGCCCAATCCACAATATTTTTTGAAAGGAGAGGGGAACACAAATTAGTACTGGGCATTATGCGAAGGAGGTCACTTGTACCTTGGAAAAATATAATTTGCTCAGTTTTAGTTTAGTATGTTGTACAAACCAAGCAAATCAGAGCTGTTTATATAGAAATGTATAGACTGGCCATTGAGATTAAGTTTGAACTTAAAATATAACAAAAAGTAATTCTATATTCTATTTTATGCAGTAAAGTGAGACGGTATGCTAAAGTTCAACCTAATCACCTTAGGCTTTATGTAGATAGTTTTGCTGATATTCCACATGGAAACAAGCAGTTTATGCTTGTTTCCATGTTTTATGCTTGTCTCTAATTTATGAGAAAATTATAAGAATGAGCTCAGCTGTGTATGGAAGGCCTCTGCTTATTAAAAAAGATGAGAGCTCTTTTCATTTAGTTCATTGCTGGGCTGTTCTCAACACAGTAGCAGCTTGCATCTTTGGTTGGAGTCAAATATAATACTATAGAAGAGCTTCTGTTCAAGGTTTGAGGGCTATTGGCAAGTAGAAATATCTAGTTTAAAAGGTGGGGGAGTGAGGTTTTAAAGCAGTATTTGATTAGCTTTTGAGAGTCTCCTTATTTCAAAAGATTATCTGCTTTATTATTGTTCCTATTTGGTGTGGAAAAGTTTTGATCCCTTTGAAACAAGCATTTGTTTTTTTCTTTGCAATGCTTTTATAAACAAATTTTAATAGCATTGTATATACAATACTAATTAGAAACTATAAATCCAGGATGTTATTCTATATGGTTTACTATGTTGGCTGCAACAAACATTCTACTACAGGAATTTCAAAACAAAGAATTTAGCCAGCTGACCCACCCCCAGCTCATTGAAATCTCTATGTGCTTGTTTTAAAAATCCCAATAGTGGAAATGTTAGTTTACTCTGTTGGCCCCAACAAGAGGGGAGGCTTGACTTAAACTAACAATAATAGAAATCTTGTTTATTCTGTTGGTTGCAACTAAATTGGGATTGCTTGCTTTAAAATCCCAGTAACAAAAATGTTAGTCTATTCTGTTGGCTGAAATTAAATTGGGAGTCCTTGTTTTAAAATTCCAGTATTAGAAATGATGGTTTATTCTGTTGGATGCAACTAAACTGGAGTTTGTTGCTTTAAAACCCAGTAAAGAAATGTTCCTTCATTCTGCAGGTAGCCATTAAAAATTGGGAGTGCTTGCTTTAAAATCCCAGCAATAGAAATCTTATTTTATTTTGTTGGCTATAAGTAAACAGGGGTATTTGCTTTCAGAACCTAGTATTAGACATATTGTTTTATTCTTTTGGCTGTAAGTAGTAAATTAGCATTTCTTGCATTAAAAATCCCAGTAATAAAAATTTTGTTTGATTCTGTGGGCTGCCACAAAACTGGGAGATGCTTGCAACTAAGTTGGGCTTTCCTTCTTTAAAATCCCAGTAATAAAAATGTTTTATTTTGTTGCTTACAACTAATTTGGGGGTGCTTGTTTTAAAATCCCAGTATTAGAAATGTTGGTTTATTCTGTTGCAGCAGGGTAAATGCAGGGTGCTTATTTAAAACTCCATTAATAGAAACATTGTTTTATTCTGTTGCTGCAACTAAACTGGACTTGCTTGAATGAAAATTGCAATAAGAGAAATGTTTTATTTTGAAGGCTATAAGTAAATTGGGGGTGCTTTGTTTTCAAATCCCATTAATAAAAATGAGTTTCTCTGTTGGCTGCAACTAAATTGGGGTTTATTGCTTTAAAATCACAATAATAGAAATTTTAGTTCATTGTGTGGGCTGCCACGGAATTGGTGATGCTTGCTTTAGAATGCCACTAATAGAAATGTTTAATTTTGTTGGATATATGTAAATGGGGCTGCTTGCTTTAAAATCTCAGTATTAGACATGTTTTATTCTGTTGGCTGCAACTAAGTTGGGCTTTCCTTCTTTAAAATCCCAGTAATAAAAATGTAATTTTAGTTTGTTGGCTACAACTAATTTGGGGGTGCTTGTTTTAAAATTTCACTAATAAAAATGTTGGTTCATTCTTTTGCAGCAACTAAATTGGGGTGCTTGCTTTAAAATCCTAGTAATAGAAATTTTAGTTCATTCTGTGGGCTGCCAAGAAATTGGTCATGCTTGTTTTAAAATGCCCCAATAGAAATGTTGTTTTATTTTGTTGGATATAAGTAAATGGGGCTGCTTGCTTTAAAATCCCAGTACTAATCATTGTTTTATTCTGTTGCAGCAACTAAATTAGGGAATGCTTACTTTAAAAAATCCCAGTAATAGAAATTTTAATTCATTCTGTGAGCAGAATGAATTTGGGGTTCTTGCTTTAAAATGCCACTAATAAAAATCTTATTTTATTCTATTGCAGCAACTCAGTTGCAGCTGCTTTCAAATCCCACTAATAAAAATGTTTTATTTTGTTGGCTATAAGTAAATAGTGGGGCTTGCTTTAAAATTCCAGTATTAGAAATGTTGGTTTATTCTGTTACAGCAACGAAATTGGAGGTGCTTGTTTTAAAATCCCAGTAATATAAATTTTGGTTCATTCTGTAGGCTGGCATAAAATTGGAGATGCTTGCTTTAAAATGCTGCTAATAGCAATGTTGTTTTATTCTGCTGCAGCAACTCAATTGGGGGTTCTTGCTTTAAAATGTCACTAATAGAAATGTTTTATTCTATTGAGACAACTCGATTGGAATGGTTATTTAAAACTCCAGTAATGGAAACACTGTTTCATTCTGTTGCCACAATACATTGGGGGGGGTGTGTGCTTGCTTTAAAATTCCAGTATTAGAAATGTTGGTTTATTCTGTTACAGCAACTAAATTAGGGAATGCTTACTTTAAAATCCCAGTAATAGAAATGTTGGTTCATTCTGTGGTTTGCCCTGAAATTGGGGGTGCTTGCTTTAAAATGCCAGTATTTATTAAAAATGTTGGTTTATTCTGTTACAACAACTAAATTGGCAGAGCTAATTTAAAATCCCAGGCTGTACAGCTTTGATAGGTAATATGGCGACAATCACTGGTAATGTGGTTTGTTTGATTTTGCAGGATCCTGATGGGGTAAGAGTCACCTAATATTTGGGGCTACATAACTTTATATAGCACATAACTTCATTACTTCACATCTTCTTATGGAATTTTCCCTTGCGAACACACAAGTCTTAGGGTTTCTTTAAACATTCCAAGTTATTCATATTCTTTCTCCAAATGTAGAGGCAATGATATATGAACATTTTTGGACAAAGATCCCTCGATAGAGCAGCCTCAAGCAAATACCTGCTAACAAAATGAAAAAAAATGTGCAGAGTTATGATGTTTAAATTTAAATTTAATTTTTTACCAGGATATCAGCAGTGTCCTTATTCTTTGATAAGCTAACTGTCAATTATCATGTGTAGCATTTATGCCTTTTAAATTTTATATCTCTCACTATTTATTTTAAGCTTAGAAAATGAATGCACCTCCAGCCCCAGAAAGCAGACCTTATTCCACAAACCCAAGGCCTTTTTTTTATGCTCGGCCTACAGCACATCAGCCATTTCCTAATCCATGGCTTGTTGGACCTATGTACAATCCCTATGGCATGCCTGCATCCGGTAAGAGAACCTATACAGTACAATATTCTGATACACAATGATAAACTTGATAAACAAAGAAGAGCTGAGGTGGTGCAGTGCTTAGAGTGCAGTACTGCAGCTACTTCAGCTGACTGCTAGTTCAGCAGATCAGTGGATCAAATCCCACCAGTTCAGCCTTCCATCCTTCCAAGATGGGTAAAATGAGGACCAGGACCAGATTGTTGGGGACAATATGCTATTTAGTATACTGTCTTTGGTGTAAGCTGCCCAGAATCCTCGGAGAGTGGGCAGCATAGAAATATGACTAATAAAAATAAAATAAATAAATAAACTTGCAAAAAATAAGGGTGGGGGGGTTGTTTGCCAACTCTGAACAGGAAACAAAAGAAGTGAGAAATTTACTAGAAAAATATGTCAATGTTCGTTTCTCCATTTGGTCAAACAGAGCTGCAGTTGAACTGCTAATTTATTAATATCTCTGTTAGGGTTTTGTCTACTGTTCTAGACCTTGGCAATAGTGCTCTTAACTTATTAGGGTGTGACCAAAAAAGAAAGAAAGAAAGAATGTTCTAAAACAACCTAGGAAACTGCCTAGAGAGGGGCAAGTCTCAAGATATTGTTGGAAGAAATATCCAGTTCCAGTTCCAAGCCGACAGAAAGGCACTGGAGATAAAATGGAGGCTGGAGGCTGATTGGAAAGAAAGTTTCCCTTTATTGATGAAGCAGAACCAGCAACCACATGTGATTCTGGGCAGTTGACAAAATGGAGCTTTGAGTGGGTTTTTATACTTTTTGGATTCCTATGGGGTCATGTAGGGGTCATGTAGGGGTCATAGCTGGCTCTATAAGCAAAAGAGGGAAATGCAAATCCTAGATGCTTGTCTGAGCTAGTTTTGTCAACCTTTGTTGCTTATCTGAGCCCACTCTTTCTGAATGGATTACCAAATCTGCATTTTTAAAAGCTGGCCGCCTCAGTTTCTGCTTGGGGCAGGGAGACTGAGGTTGGTTTCTGCCTCCCTTAAGATTTTTTTCCATTTCTCCTTTAGGGGAAATATTCTATCCTTCCTTTTTTAATATTTCCCAAAATAGTTCATTCTTCGAGGAGGTGTGTGTCACTTCCCACAATATAAAGGCTAATGAGGCAGAAATGACACTAACAAATTTTTCCTGTAATTTGCTCATGCCTTCTTCAGTCATAATTTGTTAAGCATTCTTTTCAGATGTTGAAGATTGCTTTAAAACTTATTTTCTATAATACTAGCAAAATACAGCATGTGTATGGAACCATTAATACTCAGAATAGGATCATAGTTCTAATGTTTTGTGGCACACTTTATAGTGTACTATAAAGTATACTCTTAAATAATTATGAATACCTTAATAGGTTCAGCATAGTTTCCTTCATTGTAGCTCTGCTTAACAGCTTTATGATACCCTAGTTTTCAGTGGATGAAACTTTCAGAGCATATACCAACAAACAGAAAATATCTCACCTTCATAACCTCTGCTTGCTTGCTCCTAGGGCAAATGAATAATTTTATTTAGCATAATTAACTTAAATACAATTTATTTCTGTTGTGGATTTAATAAGATAAACACAACTTTTGGGTTAATCAGAGACAAATTTATATATTGCACAATAGGTTCAAGGCTCTGTACATGAAGCGTTGAACAAAGACAGAAATTAGGTACAATGGTTTTATACCCTTCTAGACAAAGGATTCTGTTAACTCAGCAATTCATATGGTCATATACATTTATCATTTTTAATTGACATTTCCTAATTACAGAGTTTCTTTGCAAAACAGTCATAATTCTTTTGTAGATGATTCTTCAAATCATCTTTTGACGATAGACAACTTTTAACTCATGTGGATCCCCTTGACCTAACCAACCTTTAAGCTGTATGTCATTAGAATGTTCCTTTCTTCTGACAACTTAGAGGCCTCCTAGAGGAACCAAAAGGAGTTTGTACTTTTTCCAACCAGATGCATTGCTTTTTAGAATAGAGTGAATAGAAAGTTATCCAGTGGTCATCTATCAGAGCCCGCTTCATTACATTATTTCAACTGCATTTAATTAGCTTGTAATCTTCAATTTGTTCAGCTATAAATAATTCCATTGACAACATGAGGACTGTTTCCAAATAAATGTGACTAGGCTCTACTTTTACTGCAATTAGAGATTAATATAAAAAGTGTCTCCTTTAAGTCAAACACAGCTTCTAAGCAGCTTCACATATATGCCCCTGTTGTTCTTTTGACACAATTTGCTTTTTTAATCTAGTATATTTTATAGCTTGAGTATTTCATGGATATTTCCATACAAATACAAGGCAGTTCTATACTAGCTCTGTTTTTCAGGATCTATCAAAGCCAAAAGCACAACAAATATAATTATCAGCAAAAAAATACCGTATTTTCCGGTGTATAAGACGACTTTTTAACACATGAAAATCTTCTCAAAATTCGGGGGTCGTCTTATACGCCGGGTGTCGTTCTCCTGTAACCAGGCAGACCAGCCCGAAAGGCTCTGACAAGCCTTAAATGGCTCTGGCGATCCAAGCTCTGATGATCTGCTAATCAGGCAACTCCACTGGGATTGCCAGAGCCATGGAGAAGGAAAAAACTTTTCTCCTTTCACATGGCTCTGACGATCCAAGCTCTGACGATCTGCTAATCAGGCAACTCAACTGGGATCGCCAGAGCCATGGAGAAGGAAAAAAGTTTTCCCCCTCCAGCTTGCTTACCTTAGCTGCTTGCCTTGCTTCACTTTGCCTTGCTTCACTTGCCTGAATCCATTCCATCAGCAATCAACTCCCTGCCTGCAATCAAGCAGGCAGGGAGTTGTGGACTTCAACTCCCAGAATTCCTCAGCCAGCAAAACAAAGCTGGCTGAGGAATTCTGGGAGTTGAAGTCTACAAGTCTTAAAGTTGCCAAGGTTGGAGACCCCTGTTCTGTTGGGTAAGTTTTTTCCCCTTTGGGATCTTTAAAAAAAATAGTTAATTGGGGTTTTTTTTAGTTGTTCTTTTTTAGACCTAGCCATTTAAAGTTTAGGAAGTTTTAAATTTAGCTTTCATATAAAAATAAAAATAAAATAAAATAATATTTGTGCAGCTTTCTGACATTTAGTGTGTTTTTGTAATGTTTCACTCTAACTACACAAACACACAAAATCTCACAAAGCTGTATGTGGAATTTTGTGTGTGTAAAGTCTGAAAGTTGGGTTTTGGGGCTTTTTGTGACTGTGTGAGGTTCCTGCTTGTTGCAGGGGCCATTTTGGGTCTAGCACAGCTGCTTTTACATTGTGGGTGAGCCAGCTGATGTTTTTTAATTTTTATTTGGGGTGCATTGGAAGAGGAGTAGTCTTATATGGCGAGTATAGCCCAAACCCTATATTTTAACAGGAAAATTCGGGGGTCGTGTTATATGCCCAGTCATCTTATACGCTGGAAAATACGGTATTGTCAACCATCGTCTTCTGCCTTCTGCTTACTCATTTCCCAAATTATACAAAGTTGTTGACTTCCTTTATTTGTAAATTATATTTTTTTCCAGTAATAATCACAGAACTGCACTGAAATTTTGCATGCACTACATGTTTTTACTTCTCACTGTCTTACTGAGCTAAATATAACTGAAACTGTGGGATCTTCAGTGATCTCTGAGCTTGGTTGTTTTCTTGCAGACATTTCAATACCCAACTAGGGAATATCATCAGTGCTAAAAGAGGGTGGCTTTACGGTTTATATACAAGTGGTTTGCCCTGTCCATGTTGGTGGGAATATTCTTGGTGGTTCCTTGATTAGGTTGTTTACTGTTAGCTCAAACACTTAGCATTGATGATGTTCATTAGTTGGGTAATGAAATGTCTAGAAGAAAATAATGAAGTTTGGAGAGCACCAAGGGCACTGCAGTTCAATCCTGACCCTATATTGGTGTAAGTGTAACCTTAGACAAAAAAAAGAGTAAAATGATGCATTTCCAAAGACACAGAGCTATTAATTTGTTCAATATCAGAAAACAAGGAGCTTAGAAATGTTGATTTATTCTGTTGCAGCAACTAAATTGGAGGTACTTGATTAAAATTCCAGTAATAGAAATATTGTTTTATTTTGTTGCAGCAACTTTATAGGATACCAAGGAAGATATAGAACAGCCTGTTGAACACCACAGATACATATATTTTATATTTTGAGGGGCTTTATTCAATTTTTTGGATTAGTTTGATGACATGTTTAGCCTTGTTAAAGATCTAAAATTACAAGCCAATGATATAACTGTATTTTGGTTTTGTTCTAAGGTTTAAGAAGTGGCAATCCATATTTCCAATGTTACTCAGTTCCTATCCATGAGTATCCTGGATATTTAGTTCCACAGCCTCCTATCCATATGAGAATTAGACGACCTTATTTTGGTGGGCCTCCATCATCACCCATGGTGTATCAAGTCCCACGGTTCAGGCATGGTTTTCCCATGATGTATCAACCACAAAACCCAGTGAAACGAACAGAAAACAAAGAAACTCAAACTGATTTTGGAGAATCTGAAAGTGGAGCAAAAACACCTGTGAAACAAGATACAGGAACAAAAGGCTGTGATGCTGGAAATACTGGAAATACTGCATATATCACATCTGATACTCCTAAAGAAACTGAAAATTTGTTAGGAAAAACAGATAAAACAACATCTTCTGCTATGTCAGACAGGGAACTTGCCAAGAACTCTGCAGGTCTTGTACCATTTCGAAGTCTTCCCCCCCGCAGGCTATGCCATTGAGAAAGAGGAAGTTAGAATACAATATGCAAATGATGGAGCTCCTGCTATTCAGCTCTGGAAGTCTTTCAAAGAAACAATCCCTCTCTATGAGATGGCACAAAAACAAGTCCCTAAGAATATTGTGCAAAGAGATATGCTTGCTCGTAGCTCCTGTGAAGGAGTTGCATATGGGCCTCATGAACAAGAATTGCTTCCATGTATTCCATTTTCAGAGGAGCAAAAGGTTCCTGAGGACATGCAGAAGAAACAGCCTCTACGTAAAGAAAATCAAAATTCAGAAAAACAAGGAGTTATAAACTACAGAGCTATAGGTCCAAGGGATGAAGCTGGAACAGTGCAACTGGCTGAACCAACTGGGCTTGACCACTCAGGGACAAGGCAAGATGTACTGATGGCCAAAATACCACCTGGCTTTAAAAAATCAAGTGGTTCAATAGCTCCACAAGAAGTTTCAAATCTTATTCGACAACGAAAATTATTTCCCTCTGGCATAGAGATGACAAATGATGCATATTTGCCTCAGAAGTTGAGTGAATGTAATGACATGAACAATGAAGACTGGAATACTTCTGAAAAAATCCAATGGTGTGATGACTCTGAAAAATATCTTCCTTCTGAGAGCTGGTTGGCTTGTGTGGATAACATGGATCCAAACTATAATTACGAAAAATATCTTTTCCGAAGAAAGCGTCCAAATTTGCTCAGTATTACCTCTGATGATATGTCTTCTATTGAAGAAGGTCTATCAACTGAGAATTCTTCATTGTCTATCATAGTTCCAGACCATTTACTTCCGAAAGGTTTATGTACCTTCAAGAAAAATGGTGATGGCTTGGGAATAGGCCAAATAAGAAGTGGAGGCACCCTCAATGAAGATGAGGAAGTGATGGGGATTGAACAGGCCACTAGTGAACATAGTCAGAATCTCAAGAGCAATTCAAGAGTCAAGGTTAAAGAGATTCCTAGCCAAATCAAAAAGATGAGCGTTCTTCCAAGATGTTCCAGTGACAAGCATCTCTACTGTCTCCAAAAAATAACAAGTTCATCTCCATCAGATGCTGATGACTCTGAAGAATATTGGGTGATGGAACCAGAAGAATATGAAGAGCAAGAAACTGATGAGGAATACTTTGTTGAGGAAGATATGCCATATGAAATCCTGAATCCAGACAAAAGTGGATTGGGCCAGCAGACTGCCCAGAAAGTATTTTGGAGAATCCCTAAAAATGCAGTGCCACCACATGTAATTAACTGGCCTGTGCAAGAAAAAATGCCTGGGTTACCTACTAAACTGCAGAAGGAGCAAAATGAAGATCTCTGCGATGATTATAACATCTGCTTGATGAGACCTACAGCCCAACAGCTAAAATTATTTGAACACAGAAGAAATCCACAAATATGCTCAGGTAAATAGAAAACTGAAACAGATATCAATCTACTGTTTTGGAAAACTTTATTTTCTCTTTTATAAGTCTTTTTTTTTTATTGAAAAAGTTTTACAAATACAAATTTTCCCATTTCCCCCACCCTTTCCCTCCCTAACCCTCCCTAACCCTCCCCTCCCCCCATGACTTCCCCAAAATGAAATCCAAATCCAAATCATATTGTATCATACTTTACCGCCCATCTATTCTACCCCGTGTACTATACATTTCTACATGACATTCAACTATTCTACCCCCTATGTACTATATATTTCTACACCACATTCAGCTAAAAGCTATCTGTTACTTCCTAGTTTGATATTTATTCTGCACATAATCTATCCATTTCTTCCACTCCCATGCATAGGTCTCTTGAGTCCGGTCTTTTAAGTATGCTGATATCTTCGCCATTTCTGCAAAACTGGCCACCTTCAAAGTCCATTCTTCAATAGTAGGCATAGCATCCCTTTTCCAATATTGACCAATCAGTAACCTAGCTGCTGTCACCATATACAATATCAATTTTGTTTCACCCAATGAGAAGTCCTTAACTATACCCAATAGAAACAATTGTGGAGAGAATTGGAGTTTTTTCTTCAAAACATTTTGCATAACCCACCAAATTTTTATCCAAAAAGCCTTCACTTTCTTGCAAGTCCACCATATATGATAATATGTAGCATCTAAACAATCACATCTCCAACATTTTGGTTGAACATTAGGATACATGCACGACAGTTTCTTAGGATCTAAATGCCATCTATAAAACATTTTGTAAAAATTTTCCCTCAAATTCTGTGACTGCATAAATTTAACATTCTGGACCCATATTTTTTCCCATGTTTCCATCATAACTGGTTCTGCAAAGTTTTGCGCCCATTTTATCATACAATCTTTAACCAATTCATTTTCTGAATCTCTTTCTAGCAAAACGTTATAAACCCTCTTGATATGCATTGGGCCTTTCTCTTTTATCTGTCTTACCAATTCTTCTTCATGCAACATTAAACCAGTTTTTTGATCTTCTTTCCATCTCAATTGAAGTTGATTATACTGTAACCAAGTTAAATTGATCCCTTCTTCCAACAGTGTATTTAATGTCTTTAGTTGCCATCTGCCCCCATCATTAAAAAGTTTTTATAAGTCTTTATAAGTCAAGCAGGAGGGAGAGGAAGATAGGTAGATTTGAGGATTTGCAAGCTTTTTTTTAATAAGCTATGTATCAATAATTTTATACATAGGTACTTGAATGCCTATTGCTCTGAAATGTTGCAGTTTATATTTCAAATTTTCTCTTTCTCCTCATATATACCTTTTACTTTGAAATTCTTGTACACAGTTAACAAACAAGCTTTGTTCGATAGAATATTGAGTGACTACAGTCTAAATGTTCTTTGATGAAGACTTGAAAGTAGCATAGTAGATTTATGCATACATCTGAATATTTTCATAGTCTGCAGTTAAATCAATGGACATATTGGAATGGAATCAATTCTGTTAGAACTGTTGAGCCAATTTGCTTTACCAACTACTAACCAGATATGTAGCAAAGAACTGAACTTCTGTCTTAAATATGTTGATCAGGATGGTTACAAGAGGAAAATAGAAGGACTGGACCTGATGAATACTGGATAAAAAGTGGTGCTAGACCCAGATCTGCTAGCCTAAAGCCTGGTGATCTCTCACCTACTGCTACAAAAGAGAAAGGTATGGTCTTTATTGTTTAGATTAAAAATGTACTGCATTCATCTATTAACATGACTTCAGCTGATTTTCTTTAACTCAGTGGCAATTGATTCCATATTTTTAAAGCAAAGTGGCAACTTGTGCAAGCAAAAAAAAAAAAGCAAGTTAATTTGAATGCTGAAATATTTTACATAAAAGCAATTCCAATGCTACTCAGAGCAAATGTGGATTTTGGATAACATATACAACTCAATTGGGAACCTCACAATTCTCTAGCTGCTGGTGCATATCAAGCACATACCCTGCTCAAACTTTATTCTGAGAAAATATCTATTATCTTGTATAGTGAATTTCAAAAAACCATTCTTAAAGAATGAAGTGTGGTACAGATGTCTTTGCAAGCGAAGTAACTTAAAAGTGGGAAACTGTAGAAGAAATTAAACTTCAGGCACAGAATAAATAAAATGGAATGAATAAAATTATTACATGTATAATAGATATCCTGGGAGTATTCCCTTTTGCATCTGACGATATGTATATGGAATGTCCAAAGAAAAAAGGAGTGCATAAACCTCCTCATAAACGCAGAGACACAAGGTGTGAAACAGCTGAAGTACGGGAGAAACCTAAAATTACGTATCACAAGGGTAAGTGCAAAATTTCAAAATCTAGTAATAGAGATAAACTCTTTTAAATCCACCTTTCAAATCATTTATGTTATGCCTACTATTGAAGAATGGACTTTGAAGATAGCCAGTTTTGCAGAAATGGTGAAGATATCAGCATACTTAAAAGACCGGACTCAAGAGACTTATGCATGGGAGTGGAAGAAATGGATAGATTATGTGCAGAATAAATATCAAACTAGGAAGTACCAGATAGCTTTTAGCTGAATGTTGTGTAGAAATGTATAGTATATAGGGGGTAAAATAGCTTATTGTTATGTAGAAATGTATAGTACACAGGGGGGAGAATAGAAGGGTGGTAGAGTATGATATAATATAATGTGGACGGATTTCACCTTGGGGAAGTCATGGGAGGACGGGACGGTTAGGGAGGGTTAGGGAGGGAAGGGGGGGGAAATGGGAAAATTTGTATTTGTAAAACTTTTTCAATTAAAAAAAAATCATTTCTATAAGAAGGTTCTGAGTAGTATATGGAAGTCCAATAATATTTGGCACCTAGGCTTCTTAAAACCAGTGCTACAAATGAAAACTGTCAGTTCACAGAACTGGAAAACCATGGTGGAATCTTTTTTGGTTTAGGATGTTCCTGCTCATCTTTGAAAGGTTTATGTAATAAAAAGATGGATCATAATCAGTAAAATACCGAACACTTAATTGTATTGACTATATAGTCAGTGGAATACATATGTATACAATACATACCTGGAATGACTAGCTCAGCCTTGACAGGAAAGATGAATTGTATAAAGGATGCAAGCAACCTGTTAGGTCTAGCTGAAGTGCAATGGGAGATTCCTATTTGTTCTAAACTGTTTATCTTTAGACTAATTTCTTAAAAAAATCTTAACACTTATATATTACAGAGCATCATGCCTGCTTACTTCCACTACCATGGATTGTTATACTGCAACAAGTATTAACAACAGTTGAGATTGAATGCCTAAGTGGGCTTTTCCTACAGTCAGGATGTTCGTATCTTTGGCACACATTTTACTAGATAGTTATGCTAATTGCTTTGTGTTGCTGTGTACTGCCCAGTATCTATAGTTAGTGCCTGTTCATACAGAAAGATGTGTAAACAGACCTCTCGGACAAATCACACTGGGATGCAGATTATAGGCCTGAATTCCCACACTTAAAAAAGAAAAATATTTTAAAAAGCATTAAACTGGATCCCAACCTTTTCATTCCATCTAACTTATGTAAGTCCCATGATGTCCTAATTTTTAGCAGCTGGGTAGTGTTTGAATGCTGCTCATATATGGCTTTTTCTTATATAGATTGTTCATAAGTAATATAACCTTATTATAGTAAGCCTATCCCATGTACATATTTTGAGTATTGGAAATGTTTTATCATCCTGTCTAAGATGCTCCTTCATAATGGTTATACTGTAATAACTTGTAGAAGCTTTAAATCTTAACAGACAAGTTTGTATATGGTTATTCTTAACAGCTCTGAATATTGTCCATTTGCAAATTATTTCTTATCTAAGACATAGGTAAAAACAGGTTTTATATATATTAATAGATACCAGATGGTTAAAATCTAATGGTTTCAGATTGGCCTACTTTTAAAAACAATGTTGTCTAATATGTTTTCCTTTTATGCAGGATGTGAAGCAAAGAAACCACCCTATAAAAGATAAAAGAAGACAATGATGGTCAGAAATGCAAATATTTGCTTGTATTGTTTAAAGGAATCGTAATATTTTTTGGAAGCAAATCAGTTTAAGGTGCATTGTAAAGGATTCCTGAGTTCACACTGTAAAATGTCCAAAAAATGAATTTAGACACACAAATTTCACACAATGTTAAGTAACACAGTATTTAAATAAAGTTGAAATTGCACTAATAGGATGTGTGAATAATTTTTAATATAAAACTTATTCTCAAAGAATGGATAAAGCATCAGCTGAGAATTAAAAAATAAAGGTGTATGGGAATCACAATTTAGTTCAAAAAGCATTAACTTTAAACAGTATCAAGTTTTGGCAAACAGTGCTCCCTACTTCCTTCTGCAGTGATACCTGAAGGGACACCAAGATAATTTGTTGTAAATAAGAGAAACTATAGACACTATCTAAATAAAGCTCGCATCATGGTTTCATAAACCAAGGCTTTAAAGGAATATGCAGACTATAGATTTTGAATGTAGTTTCAGAATTTAAGTTGCCTTTAAATTGTAATTTTTAACATGGCAGCATGTAAAATTGATTTCATAGGAGGAAATCTCATAAAATACGTTTAATTTTACTTGAATGCAGTTTAGCATTTGGTCAGAGTACATGCTTCTAGAATTCTGGTTTCCACACTAAAAAGTTTTGCTACAGTATCTTAGCGTAACTAAGACAATGTTATGGATGAACTTATCAATGTATGTTCTTAAATGGAACTGAACATTTTTCATGCTTAAAAGGACAGAGCCTTCATTATTCTGGGTCAGCAACAGACAATAGAATAGGAAGCCTTGAATCAGATTCTGTTTCTACATCTTCACTCTCAAGAGATTCTAGCTAGCTCTGCTTATAGAATATGCTGCAGAATAAACAGATAAAATGAAGGTGTTGTGTTAATGTGTTCAATAAGAACTCAAGTTATCCAGCTAATCCCTGGTAATACAAACTGTTACTGGAAACAATGGCTCAAATTGCTTTTAACTCCCTAGCAGTCCTTTGCTTTAAAAGATAATTAAGCTTTCAGTCTTGATAAATGGGAAGAGATGAAGGCATGAACAGGTGTAGATGAAGCCAGATATTTTGCATCCAGTCCAGAAGTGGGTTTCAATTTAGTCTGCTACTGGTTTGCTTATGCGCACGCAACACTTCTGTGCATGCGCCGAAGCGGGGGGGGGGGGAGCTAGCCATGAGCTGACCATGCCCACACCTGGTTTAGTGAAGGGGGAAAAAAGTTGCAATAAGTCACGTGACGACACAAGTTTGACACCCCTGATCTAAAGGAACCACATGCTACAGTTTTGTTGACAAAGTGCTGATGCAATAAAAACATTTTTATTTGCTCTACATCACAGCTGTTTAGGTTTTTGATCCAAAACGTTAGTTCTTTTGTTGCTTTTCAATTAAGTAAAAAGTAATACAGATGAATAAGCAGTTCCTTTATTGGGCAGAACAAATATGCCACAATTAATACACCTAACCTTCCAATATTGTTTTTCTATCTAAAAAATATCAAACTTAGAGTGCCATAATAAAAACAAGGTGTATTTAAGTGTGCTTCATTATCAGTAAATCTGGATCTTTAAAATGTGCGATCTATAGATTGTTTACAATTCCTCAGAGTCTATTTCTAATCTTATAGAAGTCTGTGGAGCCCCTCCTATTACGTCAGATGCAGATGGAAGATAGGTGATAAATTATGCAGCTTTACAATAAAGTACACCTGAAAATAAGTTATATTGTGGTAGATGATGGTAGTTGATTTGTGCTTCATCCCTTTGTAGAAAGCCACTTTTTAGAATAAGTTCAGTTGGAGGCAGTCAAGGGTGAAGCCTATACCACGCCCCTTTATAATTTATTTGCCTCTGCATATTATCCATTAAGCTTCTTTCAGTAAAAGCTGAGACTTCTGCCATATTGCTAACACTCTGGCGACATGCTACTAAAGGAATCCTCTTGGCTAAATGTTACAAAGCTATGATGAAAAGATATTAGCATATATCTTGGGAGTTGTTTTTGGAACTTCCCTATTGGTAGTTTCCCCTTTCCTACACTGATTGATTATTAAAGTCTTAGTAGGCTAAAAAAGGGTAGAGGGACCTTTTACAAAAATAGCTAAAAAGAGTCTGTGCATGCATTCAAGTCAGAGTATACATAGAAGCAGTTTTCTTTAGCAGCATCTCATACAGATACAAAATAAACTTGTTTTGTTGTTCTTGTTTTCCAACACAAGAAAGAAAGAGGATGCAGGTAAAACAGAAATGAAGGAATATTCTTTGGATCTTTTACAACTTATTGACATAAAGGCAACCATCTCCTCAATCTGATTCAGACTTCTTGCTTGATTTAGAAGATCGGCATTTTCTCTTTTTCTTTTTTTTCTTCTTTTCCTTTTTCTTCTTCTTCTTTTTGTGCTTCACCCGACTCTCTGAAGAACTGGAACTGTCACTGCTGCTGTCTTCATCTGATGTGGAGTCTTCCAGCAACCGTTTTAACTGTTCTATCCTAAGCACATAAACAGACAATGTCAAATGATATTTGCTTGGGCAGGTTTCATTTCACTTGGATATCACTTTAAAACAAAAACTTTGGAACTATTACATTAGAAGTAAATGGCGTTCTTTATAATTAAGAAGTCACTGTTTTTTTCTTTGCAGAAAAATGTGAAATGAAGTAGTCATAACAGATGGCTGGTAATTTCTTGATTCACATCTCACAGGGCATTCTCACTTTGGCAAGTCACTATCTCTCAACTACAAACTTGGGAATTATATTACTGAGCTTTCATATAATGGTCATAAAATATTTGGAAATTTGTGAAGTATTGCTATCATCATTTTCATCATAATTGTTTAAAAGAGATCCAAGCTTACCTCATATCTTTTTCATAGCGTTTATTTTCTCTTATTATATCATACATAGGGTCTTCATGTGCCTTAGAGAGGAAAGAAAGCTTCATGTCCAACCAAATAATTTCTTAATTTTTAAATTCTTAATGTGATGCCCTCCAGATAGAGTTGGATTGAAATTCCCTTGAGAATCCTGGGACTTGTAATCCAAATATATCTGAAGGGTTTAGAAGGTTGTTCTAAACAATTTCTGTACAAAAAAAAAACCCCAATGACATTTTCTACATAGGAATGGCAACCTTTTTCCTAACCAAGATTGTCACTTGAATCCCATGTAGGGTACTGTGTAGGGTACTATGGGTGGGATACAAACATAACAAATGTCAATAAAGATGAGGAAACATAAAACTTCTAACCCTACTGACCCAAATTGTGATGGCAAACCACATTACCAAATGTTGTTGGAAAGAGTCACTGGCAACTTTTGCAGAAGCTCTGGAGTTCTCAAAATAGCAAGGAATAGATTGCTAGTCAAGGCTGCCTATCACGTCCTCCCCATCAGTCTATGGACACAAGCAAAACAATTTTGTCAGCCTATTCTGGAGAGTTGTCCCATGCAGTAATTCTTTTATATCTACACTCTTTTGGTTCATGCAGGTTGCTAGGGACAGATTATATTGGTATCTTATTTTTAAAATATAGTTTATGGATCAGCTTAATTTTTCCCAATCAAAGGAGTAATTGAGGTAAAAATTTTCAGTTTGATAAAATTCAAACCCTGCCTCTTTTATATGCATTAACAGTTTGTTAAACCCATTTTCTATTATACAATTGCACCTATCCTCCTTTGAACTTCTGTTTTGGAGTCAGATCTTAAACTACTATGTCCCATGTATAATAAACTGGACAACCAAAAGAAAACCAAATGTGTAATTTTCAACATTATTCCTAAATTTTTAAACTACAAATACAAAAACTGAAATGTAAGGATGTAAAAGAGTGGACTTCAAAGCAATGTTAACAGTTGCAATATTTTTATATGATTAATTTTCAAATGGTTACTTCCATTTTCTAACTTGCAGTTAGTTTAAAATGACTGGATACAGAATTTATATCTCTAATGTATACAACAAATCTAAATGCATAAATAGCCAAACACTTTATCAATATATACTTATCTAATCACTTGCTTTTAATACAATTTGCTCTCTCGGCTTTTGGTATGGAATCTGTATAAAACCTAGTGAGCTTTATTTGTATAGGTTAATTTGAAGATAAATATTGAAATGAATAGTACATAAGTAATGGGACCATGTTTGCTCTGAAACTAATTCAAAGTGCTTCAGGATTTATAAAAGCACTACACTTCTCTGAAATTCAATTAAATAACACAACAAGTTTTTGGAAATGTGCTGCTCTATCTGAGGCTCGAAGTCCTTCTTCTGAATTTGTTTCAAAGCATACCCAGCCCTAATAAAATACTTTCATTCTCCCTTTTATGGATTTTGATGCAAGGCATGCAGTAGTCCTAAATGCTGGGTGGGGAAAGGCAAGTAGAGGGGAATAACAGCATAACCCAGTGGTTCTCAAACATTTCTTTACCATAGACCCCCTTTAAATACCTTTTGTGGCCATGGACCACCAAGATTTAACTCAAGATTTAAATCATAACATTTCTTCATGGCCCTCTGGGGGTCCACAAAGCACAGGTTGAGAATCACTGGCATAAGTAATTATTGTAGTTACAGGGCATATCTCAATAATGTTTCTGCCTGAGCAAGCTACTTATATGTTTAGCATTTGTTTCCCAAAGCAACATGTCTTGGGATGATCCTGAATATGTAGTGGTTGGCCAAGACGAAGTGGCAGAGAGAGAAATTAACTCCAATTTATTCTCTGCTGAAACTGCCTCCACTTTATTCCTAGAAAAGTGCTATATGAAAGATTAATATTAGCATATCATATTTTACAGAATTGTGTTAACATTATCTAGAATTAACATTATTTAAAAAATCAGATGTCTTAATTTAACATTCTTCTCACATGATCATTTAGAGCACGGGTGTCAAACTCATGGCGTCACATTACCCTCATGTGACATTGCGACGTTTTTCCCCTTCACGGAGCTGGGGTGAGCATGGCCTGTGTGTGACGTATTTAGCCCATGGGCTGCCAGTTTGACACCCCTGATTTAGAGTAAATGTTGTCACAATTTACTGTACTGTACAGAGTACTTACCACTCTGAATTGTTCTAATTTTTGGTTGCCTTTGATGAAGAAAGGACATTCTTTATCTCCTGTTCGGTGTCCATATCGTTTACATCTCCAGCCTTGAGAGAGAGAAAGAGATTAACATTGAAAAATCATATTCTTCCAAGCTTTTGCGGACGAACTTGTGTTCTTGTTAGAAGACCCACTATCAACAGAACCCAATCTAATGAAGGAAATTGAAAAATTTGGAAAAATCACAGGTTTGAAAATTAATAAGGATAGGACTAAAATATTAACCAAAAACCTAACAACAAAACAGATAGAGGAATTAGAGAAACAATCTGGGCTAAAAGTAGTTAAGAAAATAAAATATCTAGGAATAAACCTGACAAATAAGAATATTAACATAAAGAAAAATAATTACGATGGAATAATACATCAAATTGGAAATGATTTAGAAAGATGGGGAAATTTAAACATTTCATTTTTAGGAAGGATAGTGGCTCTGAAGATGAACATCTTGCCGAGGCTCCTCTACCTATTCCAAACTATCCCAGTGAAATTGGAGAATTTTTTTTTTATTAATTTAAATAAAATTACGTCTAAATTTTTATGGGAGGGCAAAAAACCCAGGATAAGTTTGAACACATTACAGGATGATAAACTTAGAGGAGGTTTTGGTTTCCTGGCGTGGGAGAAATATTATAAGACAGCATGCCTGATATGGATAAAAGAGTGGGTTAATTTAGACAATCAACAGTTATTAAAACTGGAAGGGCATGATTTAATGATGGAGTGGCACACCTTCCTGTGGAATACCGGGAACAAAACATACCAACACTTTAACAATCATATAATTAGGAGAGCATTAATTGGCATTTGGTTGGAAATAAAAGAAAAAATGCTATACGAAGGTTCCCGGGTGGCTTTCCACAGTGGAGGCAGCTATGCACCCCAATATTATATCTCATCATAGAATTATACGGTATAGGGACCTACTAGATTCAAATGGACTATTAAGAACACGCCAGGACCTCAGAGATGTGGGAATGGAATTGGATTGGTGGCCCTACCTTCAAGTACAAAATAGGTATAGGAAAGACAGGGACGAAGGAGGAATCGACGTGAACCCTAATAGGCTAGATAAATTTCTGGAAGTGAAAGAAGGGAAATTAATATCCAAAATATACAAATATTTACTAGAAATTGACTTAAATGAGAATATAATTAAAGGACAAATGATTGCCTGGACTAGAAACATAGGTAAAAATATTCAACTAGAAGAGTGGGAAAGGATTTGGGAAAACAACATTAAAATAACGAAATCAGTAAATTACAAGGAAAATCAATATAAGATGTAGTATAGATGGTACCTTGCCCCCTCGAGACTAGCACAAATGTACCCTAATTTGGACCCGAAATGTTGGAAATGTAAACAGGCCCGAGGAACTTTCTATCATGTACGGTGGCTATGTCCCAAAATCAAGGCATACTGGGGGAAAATTAGAATTTGGATATCACAAATTACAGGAGAAGAAACAGAATTAGACCCAGAGATTTTTTTATTAGGAATATATAAACAAAATATTAGAAAAGAAATGACATATTTGATACATCATATAATTACGGCGGCCAGAATAACAATTGCACAAGTTTGGAAGACGGATCATTTGCCAATCGACCAACAGATAATACAAAAAATATATGCATGTGCGGAATCAGATCAACTAACACTGAAATTAATGGATAAGGAAAGCTCAAAGTATTTTAAGGTATGGGACAAGTGGTATGATTGGATTAAGCGAAAAGAAAGTGGATAAGGATATACTTAGTAAAGTATAAAGATAATCTTGAAATTAAGAACTGATAATTGGGAGTGTATTTCCATGCTTATTTCATATAAATACCAACAATGACTTCACCGTCATGAGGATGAATGTGGGACTAGGTTATGAAATATATAATGTGTAGAGGAGAAGAATATATATAGATATGTAAAAGAATGGAAATGAAATGTCAGTTATAAAATATGATCTATGTATATGAATATTTTATTATGGTTTTAATTGTTTTTATAATTGTTTGATAATTTAATGAAGTGTTAAAAAAAAATAATCATATTCTACCCACAACATTTTTTTTACAAAAATGTGCACATAGACACACCCAATATTGTAAAATCAAAACCAATTATTTATTTATTCTCATGTAATTATACAGCATTATCCTCTTGATTTCTGAAGGGAAGAAGGCAAGATATGGAAGGTCTGCAGAACTTAGTTCACATTTGTATCTTTATACCAGTCCATCTCAAGACTGATTTGTTTTGATTAGGCTCCCAGTTCCAGAGGGATGTGACCAAAATGATTCAGGATCTAAAGAAACTGCAGCTCTTAACTTGAAGTAACTAATAGGAAACACAATGGAAGAATACAAATTAATGTATGGCCTGGAAAATATGGAGATGTTTCTAGCAATGTCAGAAGTTACCTACCTACTTGATGTCAACTCGCAAAGCATCCCTGACCTGCTCTCGAGTTGCCATAGGCAAGGGGGATGAGAAAACGAACCTATTCTCGGGCATCGGTCAGAACCCTGGCAAATGACTTGCTATGAATCTCTGTACTGATAAGTAAATTTGTAAAAAATATTAACTTTTTCCTTAATGTACAATTATTTAATAACATTGTGAAATTTATTATCATCAGAGCTCCTGGTTGCTACCAAGGATTGCTTTCTTTCTTTTTTTTTTTAAATAAATTTTATTAAGTTTTCCAGGTTAAAATCAACATGAGACAAAAACATTGATTATACATAACAACAAAAACCATACATTCCCCTCCCTCCCTCCCCCATTCATAACACTAAACATACAAACACGTCTATCCCGGCAGATAATATTCCTGCCCTCATTTATAAATAATTATGCCCACAACACAGAATAAAGTAAATAATCCCCAAATATGGTTTTCATGCAATTATCTTTCAATCTAAATAGGTATATCTCTCCTCATATTGACTTAGGCCCTCACTTCATCTCAATCCTTTTATTCAACCACCAATACCAACTGTCCCAACTTTGAAAAAATTCAGAATCCTTTTTCTTTCAACATATACGTCATTCTGTCCGCCTCAGTGCACTCTAATACTTTATTTATAATTTGGGCACTAGTCGGTATCTCTTTTTCTTTCCACTGTTGGGCAAACGCTATTCTAGCTGCGACTAAAATATGTAGAGTGAGATACCATTTTTTCTTACTCAGCCCCTCCAATTCCTAATCCTTCTCCAATACTTCTTTGCCATTATACAAGTCCACTATTGATGGAAATACGTACCTCTGGTTTCCCCCCATTTCCAACATAACTCTGATACACCCGGAAACATTTTAGCAATACTTGCTGGTGGGAGGTGCCACCTATACAACATTTTATATACATTTTCCTTGAAAGACATTGCCGTAGTCCTTTTAATATTCCCCCCCCCCCACATTTGTTGCCATTTTTCTAAAGGAATTGAGTACCCAAAATTCCTCCCCCAGGCAATCATAGTATCTTTTACAACCTCCTCTCCTATCATTCACTCAAGCAATTGTGCATACATTTTGGTTATGTATTTATGATCCTCTCCCAATAATATTTTATCAAAATTCTGTTCCATCACATATATCCCATAATTATCTCTAACTCTCCTGTAACGAGATTGAACTGAAGCGTAGGTCCACCAATCTAGCCTGATTCCTTTGTCAGCAAATCTCCCCTAGATCTTAATATTCCTTGAGCATCCACAAGATCTTTATATCTAAAAATTTTATCCTGTTTAAGAGCTGTTGGGTATGTCATCGCTTCTGTTGCTGAAAACCAGGTTGGAATCTTAGTATAGAATTTTCCTCTGAATATATCCTAGGTTTCCAGCAATATTCGCCTTAGGTAATGTCTCTTAAAATACTTATACTGTTGCGCTTTCTCTCTCCATAGCAGTGCATGCCAGCCGTGTTGTAGGTCGTGCCCTTCTAAATCTAATAAAGACCTCCTCTTCAATAACACCCAATCTTTCATCCAGGCCAGCAGTGAAGCTCGATAATATACAGTAGTTCCCAGCAGGGGAGGCTGAAGCCCCCCACCCCTCTATGCTCTTGTAACATTTTGAGCTTCAACCTAGGCCTTTTCCCCTGCCAAATAAATTTTAGCATGACTCGATCCAGATCTTTAAAAAACCTTTTATCTAACCTTGCCGAAGCTGATTGAAATAAAAATAGCCATTTAGGCAAAACATTTGTCTTAATTGCTGCTATCCATCCCATCAAAGAAATTGTAAATTTTTCCACTTCTCCAGGTCTCTTGCAGTCTGATCATATAATTTAACAAAATTATCGTCCTTAATTGTAGAGCACCGGGCTGTTAGCCAAATTCCTAGATATTTAATTTTATTTACAATTTGAACATCCAATTTAGATTCTAATATATTCTTCTGCATCTTTGGAATATTTTTGACCAATATCTTGGTTTTGTCCTTATTCATTTTTAACCCAGCCTCTCTACCATATTCTATCATCTCTATCAACTCTGGGCCCGACTCTAAAGGGTCTTCTAGAATGAAGACAAGATCGTCCGTGAATGCCTGTATTTTAAATTCCTTCCTTCGTACTTTAAATCCTTTAATTGCTGGGTTATTCCTAATTTCCCTAAGAAGAGGTTCCAGTGTCAGAATAAATAAAAGCGAGGAAAGTGGGCAACCTTGTCTCGTTCCCCTACTGATTATAACCTCCTTTGTTTTTTCCCCATTAACTAAAACCCATGCCACCTGGGAAGAGTAAATTGTTTGTATCGCCTGAGTAAACTTTTCGCCAAATTCCATTTTACGAAGCTGGGTTAACATAAATTCCCAACTCACGCTGTCAAATGCTTTATAAGCATCTAAAAAGAGAAGTGCCATCTGTTTGTCCGAATGGTGTTCATAATACTCAAGAGCATTTAATACTACTCTCAGATTATCTCTCAACAATCTATGCGGTAAGAAACCATTCTGGTCTCTATGTACGAACTGATTTAAAAAAACCTGTAGTCTTTTTGCTAGGATGGATGCAAACAATTTATAATCAGCATTAAGTAAGGCTATTGGTCTATAATTCTTAATATAGGTCGTATTGGCCCCTTCCTTAGGAAGGAGAGAGATATACGTCTCTTCCCAAGACTTTGGTATTCGTCCATCATTCAGCATTTCGTTAAAGACATCGCACAAGTGGGTCCCGATCACTTCTCAGATTACATTATACACCTCTACAGGCAGTCCATCTCTTCCAGGGGTTTTACCACTCTTCTGTTTTTTCAGACTTTCCTCTATTTCCCCCTCTGAGATATTTCTGTTTAGCATATCTCTTATCTGATCTGGTACCCCTGGCAAGTTCTCTAGGAAACTGAATTGCTTTCGACTGGTGTCTTCTCTTTGATATAACTCCTGAAAAAAGGATTGCTTTCAAAGACGGTTAGACAAATTTATGCAAAATGATATCACAGCTACAGTTGCAAGAAAAAATATGTGAACCCTTTGGGATTACGTGGAGTTTTGCATGAATTGGTCATAAAATGTTCTCTGAACTTCATCTAACTTACAACAATAGAAAAACACAGTCTGCTTAAAATAATACTACACAAACATTAGATGTTGCCATGGTTTAATTGAACATAACATGTAAACATTCACAGTGCAGGGAGGAAAAAGTATGTGAGCCCCTAGCCTAATGACTTCTCCAAGAGCTAATTGGAGCCAGGAGTGAGCCAACCTTGACTCCAATCAGTGTGATGATATTGGATGTGTTGCTGACAGCTGTCCTGCCCTTTAAAAACACACACCTATTTTGGGTTTACTGGTTTCAAGAAGCACTGTCGGATGTGAACCATGCCTTGCAGAAAAGAGCTCTCAGGAGACCTACGATCAAGAATTGTTGACTTGCATGAAGCTGGAAAGGGTTACAAAAATATCTCCAAAAGCCTTGATGTTCATGTGTCCACGGTAAGACAGACTGTCTACAAATGGAGAAAATTTAGCACTGTTGCTACTCTCCCTAGGCATGGTCATCCTGTAAAAATGACTGCAAGAGCACAGCGCAGAATGCTTCATGAGGTAAAGAAGAATCCTAGAGTGTCAGCTAAAGACCTACAGAAATCTCTGGCACATGCTAACATTTTTGTTGACACATCTACAATAAGGAAAACATTAAACAAGAATGGAGTACATGGGAAGACACCACGGAGGAAGCCATTGCTGTCCAAAAAAAATATTGCAGCACGTTTGAAGTTTGCAAAAGAGCACCTGGATGTTCCACAGCACTACTGGCAAAATATACTGTGGACAGATGAAACCAAAATTGAGTTGTTTGGGAAGAATACACAACACTACGTGTGGAGAAAAAAAGGCACAGCACACCAACATCAAAACCTCATCCCCACTGTAAAACATGGCGGAGGGAGCATCATGGTTTGGGGCTGCTTTGCTGCCTCAGGGCCTGGACAGATTGTTGTCATTGATGGGAAAATGAATTCCAGAGTTTATCAAGACATTTTGCAGGAAAACGTACGACCATCTGTCCGCCAACTGAAGCTCCGCAGAGGATGGGTGATGCAACAGGACAATGACCCAAAGCATACAAGTAATTCAACAAAAAAAATGGCTTCAACAGCACAGAATATGCCTTCTGGAGTGGCCCAGTCTGAGTCCTGACCTCAACCTGATTGAAATGCTGTGGCATGACCTTAAGAGAGCGATTCACATCAGACATCCCAAGAATATTGCTATACTGAAACAGTTTTGTGAAGAGGAGTGGTCCAAAATTACTCCAGATCGTTGTGCAGGTCTGATCTGCAACTACAGGAAACATTTGGTTGAGGTTATTGCTGCCAAAGGAGGGTCAACCAGTTATTAAGTCCAAAGGTTCACATACTTTTTCCTCCCTGCATTGTGAATGTTTACATGTTATGTTCAATTAAACCATGGCAACATCTAATGTTTGTGTAGTATTATTTTAAGCAGACTGTGTTTTTCTATTGGTGTGACTTAGATGAAGTTCAGAGCACATTTTATGACCAATTCATGCAAAACTCCACGTAATCCCAAGGGGTTCACATACTTTTTCTTGCAACTGTATTCTGCAACATTGGTAGTTATATACTGCTTCTGGAATTATAACTGCTTTATCTTAAATACTTGATATGTAACAGTGAAAGATGTTTATTAATTTCATGTCTTGTTTACAAGTTTCCTGGATGTACCTCATTGGCCTTTGGTCTGAGCAATTATGGGAAAAATATGTTCCAGTGTCTGAGTTATCAGATTGCCATAACACTAAAAACTAACAGACATTTTTCTCCTTAAAATTTTTTATGGGAAATAGCTGAATTAAGCATCCCACACAAGTTTAAGATTATCCCTTTTAGTGATAGCACTAGGCACATTCTTTGTATCCAAATAGGATTGGATATTCATAGCACAATCCTATACATTATTTAAAAATAGCATGCAATGTAGGACACAGTAACCAACAGCTTCCGAGGATACTTCTTTGGTGAATTTTTTCTTCAACTGTCCTACCTTTCTTGAGTATAAATCAATTGATTATAAAGATGCCATGTTGCATCCTCATAGATTTTCAGCTTTCAAACTTATCCATTTGCTTGCACCAATTGAATACACATTCTGAGCATTTATACTGTTTCTAAGTTAGTACTTTTGGTTTGGCAATGCATATTTTTTTTGCTCTTTATTCTCTCCTTTCCTTAACTGCTATGAATATTTTAAGTTATTCTATTCATGAAAGTACTGATAAAGGGTATATTGGAAATGCAGTTAATAATAAGAATTAAAGCTACAATCTTTTTGAAAAAGACCAGTATAAAAATATATATCATAAAGCAAAAAAGCATTTATAAATTAATTATCTTCACTTAGGAAAAATGGTAACTGCTACAGAAAAGATTTTCTCTCCTATTCTCACCAACTAACCCTATTGTTGGATTTATTACAGAACCTCCAAAATCTAGATGCTCCACTTACATTGCATAACTTTGACCTCTTTTCCTAAAGGCATCCATAATCCTTTGGTGGGAGCATGTGCTAAGAATTCTCGTGCATTTTCATTGCCAGGTACATCAGGAATGCAGTCTTCTGGTTTAGTCTCATTTTCCTGCAACAGAAAGAAAAGAAATCCACTAAAGCTATAAAGATAAGTAAGTGGGCAAGATATTTTTCTGTAGATATTTTCTGTAGGCACAGAGTAGTAATTTGCAATCATGGCTAGAACTCATACTTCCTGGAAGCTGACTGGTGAACAACCAGGGATTGTTAACACAGGATTGCGAAAAAGTAGAAGATGAAGCACCCTGCACCAGCAACCATTCAGAATATTGTTAGTTTTTCTGCTTCTGTAGCAGAAAAGTACCTACTTGCAACAAGATCCTGAATACTATTAAATCTCCTCTTGAATGGACATGTATAAGTATGCCATTAATTGTATTTGTTTGAACCTGAAGCTGTCCAGACAGCTGAACCTACTCTAATGCAACATAGAATCAAATATGACATTCTATATTAAAAAGATTGCCCAGTGATGTTTTAAATGAAATCTGATGGATATAGTTTACTTCAAACTCAGATGCAAAAGTAAGCAGTAACAGTTCTGTAGGCAAAAATGGATCTCAGGGCATACACAACCACATAGAATATTTAGTGATAATTTGAACAACATTTACATTATATCTGTTATATTAACATTGAAAATATATTATTTATAGCCCTCTCACTTACCTTAATTAGCCCTGGAGGAAGTTTCTCATAGCTGAAAAATAGATTGAAAATATATCTTTAGTAATTTTTCTTTTTTAAAAAAAACTAAGCAATGATGATTTTTTTTTTAGTTGGCCCAAAAATAGGAGGATACTTTCTTTAAAAGTGTTTTTCACTTGCCTTACTTGGCAAATAATATGAACAATTTTGGAAAATGACTCCATTTAAGAATGTGTCATTTTAATGAAACAAAAAATGAGTAGTTTCAATCATGTAGAGAGTTTTCTCTAAATGACATGTTCATAACGACAACTCCCAGTCCTTATTCCTCATCAACAATCAGTTTGTTTCTTCCCATTGGCACAAATGACAAAGTCACAAGATTTTTATTTACCTATGTAAATAAATACTATTTCCTGTATAAGATTTGAAATGCTTGCCACAATTCCTTGGGTAATGAGTACTTTATTTTAATAAAGTAAATTTAAAATAAAAGCAGAGTGGAAGCACTGTCCCGAAGGTACTTTTTCAGGAGGCACCTGTACTTCCTTGTTTTTTCTTTTCTTTCTTCTTCATTTCTCATCCAAGAAGCTTCTTCAGCTTTGACAGGATAACGGGTAATGGAAGGAATGGACAGCTGTCTGCAAGGAATATAAATCCTTCTATTCCCCACTATTCTGTCAGAGCTAAAGAAGTTTCTTGGATGAGAAATGAAATGTTTTCAAAAGAAAAAACAAGAAAGTCCAATTGCCTCCTGACAAATCACCATTGGGACAACCGTGACCTGGATGACTGAGAATCTTTACAGACTTTCAGAATGATAGCACTACATCAAATAGCTGATATGTAAGGATTTGCACACACCTCGGACAAGAACTGATTGGCACACAGCACTTCTATTCACAAAATTGCTTTAAAAAGTGTTGATCCCATCTGCTTTCATAATAGAACAATAAAATGAGCCCAACAATGGGTATTGTTATGGAACACTTTGATCTATGAGTAAGAAACAAATACAATAAAAATACATAAAAGTGTGCGTAGTATGAAAACTCTGGCAGCAGAGCATTTCTTCTCAAAACTCTAAAATCTGGAGCCATTGCCTAATGTGCTGAGTGGCAGAGAAGAGATTTATTTCACACAGCATAGAATTAAGAAATAAAATTCCTTAGCACAAGATCAGTAACTGTTACTTTTATGAAAGATTTAGACAAATGAAGAGAGTTTAAAAGTGAACAGTAGTAATTTAGCACAATTATTGATTCAAAAACTCTTTCAAGTAACTAGAGTAGTACTATATGGACACCATTGATTCATAGTCAGAATGTGAATGATTATCGTATTTTGGGGGTGGGATAGTTTTTCAGGTTTCTTTGTTGGGTGTCTTCAGCACTTTTTGGGTCCTTTATAGATCTGGGTGATTCAGTATTGCTTATCTGAGCCATCCAGCAACAGCTATTTTTCCTGTGTTCTTCTATCTATGTCTGCAACTCATGGTGATCAGAAGTAGATAGTAAACTTGAAGTGGGCAGTAAGACGTTGATGGGCTGCTAGTTGCAGGTGAGTCTCATGCTTTTTCTTAAGAAACTAGATGGACAACCTTGATTGACAACCCACAGAGATGTGGGTTCAGTGGAAACAGGATAGAACACAATCCTCACTAGCAACCTTTGTCTCTCTGCATATGGCGACCTCCTCAACACCACAACCCAGCTGTAATTGTGCACCGGATTAGGAAGGGTACCATTGCAACTTTACAGGTTTGCGTGCTGCTAACGGTCACGGGGTAGAGGAGCTCGGGGGGGGGGGGAGAGGAGGAAATAAGTCAAGGGACCGACGAAGAGGATCTGCTTACAAGGACTCCAGATGTTGGATCTGTTGGATTTGCTGCACCACCCGTTTATTTCTCTTTTGCTCCTTCCGATCCTGCCCTTTATGGTTTGTCTGGGAGCTGCAGCTGGGCAGCAATTCGCTGGAGCTCCGATGTCTCCGGAGGCTGCCACCTGCTCTTGTCTCTTCCTGCCTGCCTCCTTGGGACATGGCCGCACTGACGGTACCAGAACCAAGGCAAGCGATCGGGCTCCCAAACCGGGCTTGGCCTCCGCTCGACCGGCGCCTCCTTTCACTTCCAGGTCGAAGTGGCAACAGGCACTTCCTTCAGCTAGCGGGGCTACCTCTCTCGAGATAGCGCCCCCTTCTCCTCTTATTCCAGCCTTTTGGCAGAAGGATCGTGGAAGCTTTACTCCTCTTCGGGTGGGGCCGAAGGGAAGGGAAAGCCGGAGTATTAACAGCATCGCTTTGCAGTTATAACTGGGATTTGAAAAGTCTTTTTGAGAGGAAGCGTTGCCTGGTAAGGTGATTTAACCCCTCGTAACATAATAATTAGACTTCTGGATCCATTGGTGGCAACTTCCAGGAAACATGCACAGGATTTGGTAGGACTGCTAATGTAGGAGACACTACGGCGTCTCGTATTTCATTACTTCCTTTTGGAAACTGGTTTCTCCCTCTACCGGCTCCAGGGCCGAAGCCCATATTTATTTAACTCTTTACCAGGCTTTACCCTGAGGTATGCAGTCATTTCCCCACAGGATTTGCTGTGAGCCATGTGAGCCGGCTTTAGTCTGGGTGTGGCTTACCTATTCTGTGTTCAGAGTTCGCTCTTCTCTCCACCACCTTGCAAGAGACGCATGGGTATTGTTTGTATCATGTTTTTGTATTTTGTAGATAAAGAAGTTTTTTCTATGTTATGAATCCTAATCAATTCTTTGAATATGTGCTGAGTGATTCTCAAATAAACTAACAGGTTATGGGGCTCAGATCAGTGGTGGGATTCAATTTTTTTAACAACCGGTTCTGTGGGCGTGGCTTAGTTGGGGGTATAGCTTGGTGGTCATGTGACTGGTGGGTGTGGCTAGCTGATCATGTGACTGGGTGGGCGTCCCTATGTGCATAGGAACTAGTCAGAGGGCTGAAAAAAGTCATTTCTGACTGATCCTCGCACTTTTGACCGGTCCTCGCACTTATGACCATCCTCACATTTATGCCATTGCGGCATTCTTAACAACCGTGTCAATCATTTCACCACTACTTCTCTTCACCACGGTGACAAGATAGGGCACAAAACATAAAATGTGAGGACAGTCGTATATTCAAGGACTGGTCAAAAGTGCGAGGACCGGTCAAAAATAATTTTTTCAGCCCTCTGAGTAGTCCATATGCACATAGGGACTACTGAGAGGGCTGAAAAAAGTCATTTATGACTGGTCCTCGCACTTTTGACCGGTCCTCGCACTTATGACCATCCTTACATTTATGCCCGTTGCGGCATTCTTAACAACCGTGTCAGTCATTTCACCACTACTTCTCTTCACCACGGTGACAAGATAGGGCGCAAAACGTAAAATGTGAGGACAGTCGTAAGTTCAAGGACTGGTCAAAAGTGCGAGGACCGGTCAAAAATAACTTTTTCAGCCCTCTGAGTAGTCCCTACCCAGAGGGCTGAAAAAAGTGATTTCTGACAGGTCCTCGCACTTTTGACTGGTCATCATTTATGCCATCATTTATCTTCTAGTCCAGAGATCTCCAACCTTGGCAACTATAAGCCTGGCAGACTTCAACTCCCAGAATTCCCCAGCCAGCTATGCTGGTTAGAGAATTCTGGGATTTGAAGTCCACAAATATTAAAACTGCCAAGTTTGAAGACCTCTGAGCTAGAGCTTTGGAGCCAGCCTTTTGGGGAGGGGGTCCCATTCAGAGAGACCCCCTGCCTCTCAGGAAGCATCAGGCCCAGGCAGAGAAAGTTGCCAAGGTGGGAGATCTCTGGTCTAGAGGACCTCCAAAGGTCCCTTCCAACTCTGTAATTCTGGTATTGGCAAGCAAGCACAGTTAAGCTACTTAAATCCCCCAGAGCAGGGGTCCCCAAACTTTTGGACCTCAGGGACCACCAAGTTCATACTTTTAAATTTTGCGGACCACTAATACGAATCCAGCGCATTGCTTGCTGAAGCACCTGGACTCCCAGTGACGGGATAGAGTCCTTCAGGCACTCACCCCTCCTCTTTCTCTCTCTCTCCCCCCCTCTCTCATTCTCTCTTTCTCTCCCCCCTCTTTCTCTCTCCCCCCTCTTTCTCTCCCTTTCTCTCCCCCCTCATTCTCTCCCCCCTCTTTCTCTCTCTTTCTCTCTCCCCCCTTTCTTTCTCTCCCCCTTTCTCTCATTCTTTCTCTCCCCCCTTTTCTCTCCTCCACTCTTTCTCTCTCCCCCCTCTTTCTCTCTCTCCCCCTCTTTCTCTCATTCTCTTTCTCTCCCCCCCTTTCTCTTTCTCTCTCTCTCCCCCACTCTCCCCCACTTTCTCTCTCTCATTCTCTTGCAGGGGGCCGATCTGGTGTCTGCAATGGAGAGCAAAATCCAGCTTCTTTTCTCTGCTGTAAGTGCAGCATCAGGATTCCGCCTTGGTATATTTGTGGCGCAAGGCAGCCCTTGTTTCCTGCTGACTCGGAGCGGTAAACAGCGTCTGGTTCGGGGAGCAGCCGGATTTTGCTCTCCATTGCTCTCTTGGCCCCCTGCAAGCTCTTGTCTCTCGAGGAGCGCTCCCTAAAGTGGTGCGGAAAACTTTCGTTGGGCTTCTCGAGAGATGAGAGTTTGCAGGGGGCCGAGAGAGCAATGGAGAGCAAAATCCGGCTGCTCCCCGAACCAGACGCTGTTTACCACTCCGAGTCCCAAGCGGCAGGAGATGAGGGCTGCCTTGGGCCGCAAATATACCAAGGTGGAATCCTGATGCCGCATTTACAGCGGAGAGAAGAAGCCGGATTTTGCTCTCCATTGCAGACACCAGATCGTATTGCACCACCTGCAAAAATGCAAAAATTTCCAAATGTAGCCCTGCCTCTAACAGCCCTCCTGATGTTCAGCTGTTGTCTCTCAAGGAGGATGCTTGGCCATCTTCATGCTTGAAAGATTCTACAGTGTAACAGCAGATGTCTCCCACCCTGGCAGCTTTAAGACTTGTGGACTTCAACTCCCAGAATTCTCCACAATTCCTCAGAATGGGCTAGGCGGGAGTTGAAGTCCACAGGTTGTAAAAGAGCCACAATTGCCCAGCCCTGGGCTAGGGTAGGCTGACGCCGCGCGGGTGGGAGGAGGGGCGGGCGAGCCAGCAATTTAACAAACGGTTCGGTGTGCTGCGAGGCCAATAAATTGCAAAAAAACCAGAATTGTTTGTTAAATTACTGGCTCGCCCGCCCCGCCCCCACTATTTTTTGGCAAGGGGTGGGGCAAGCCAGCAATTTAACAATGTATAGCAACTCCAGGAAGAGAAGAATTCTGCCGAGTAATATTTTTTGGATTTTTTTTTCTTTCTCCTTACTTTTCTTTCCTCTCTGAATTATGTATTGAATACTACCCCTACTACCGATTAGACTGCTCACCTGATTAATTCAAATCTTGTCTACCCTTGATTACCCCCTTTTTTTTTGGAATTGATCGGATAAAATCTTTTCAATCAAAATGTCAACGGCAACACCAGTGGTAACCACAAAAACTGGGAAAAAAGTCTTGACATTCCCTATGGTCGCTGCTACGGCCACCACGGCTACACCCACCTCATCGCCTTCGTCTGCCAGGTCACTGGATGATATGGTTGCTGCAGGGAAACCACCATCGTTATCAAGCTTACAGAATATGCTGCAGGCAATGTACGAAGTGATGACCAAAAATCAAGAAGTTATTTCTAAAAATTTAGAGGACTTAACATCAGATATTAAAGGGGAGCTGGGAGCCGTTAGAAATGATATCAAAATGTTGAATGAGAGCTTGGAAGGTGTTCAGGGGGTGTTGACGCAACAGGAGAGTAAAATATAAGACATTGAAAGGAGGATGGGACGATGTGAGGAAAGACAAGATGGAGAGGAAAGGGAACAAATAGCGGTGAACAGGGTCCTCGAAGAGGAAATTATTTTTCTGGAAATGGAAAGATCATCTTTCTATCTGAGGATTCAAAACGTGGTGGAAGAAAGGGGGGGAGCCGTTAAGAGATATAGTTGCAGAAATATTGGCTGGGGCTTTGGAGATCACAAAGGAAGAGGTTTTGAGGGATATAGACGATGTGTTTCGGGTTCACACAAGTTATGCCAGGAGACAGAAACTTCCGACTGAGGTTCATATCAGACTATCTAAGAAAGCCCTTAGGGAAGATGTGATTGCGAAGGCCAGAGATAAAACAGTAACTTATAAGGACAAACAATTGATATTCTTAAGGCAACTCCCTAGGCGGGTTCGGGAAATACGGCGCAATTATCACTTTTTAACGGCCCAACTGAGAAAGCATAAAATATTATATAGGTGGCTACTCCCGGAAGGGTTATTATTTACTTGGGCAGAAAAAAGGGTGAGAATTGACAACCTTAGAGACGCTAGAGATTTCTTTATTAGACATTTGAACCCCTCAGAATCAGACGTGGGAGAAGAGCTAGAGAGCAAGAGCAGGGAAGAAGTACTAGAGAGGAAGAGAGAAGGAAAATAGAACAAGTAGATGAAAGGAAGAAAGAGAAAGGACAATCTCAGACTCAGGTAGAGAGGGGTGTCGAAACAAGACAATCAAAAAAGAAACCTCAAGTAGAAGGCAAGTAAGGGTAATAAGGAAGACGGGATGGGGGAAGAGATGTGTTTAATGTCTGTTAATATCAATGGATTGAATAGTCCAAGTAAAAGGAAAAAGGTTTTCACTGAATTAATGAAAGCACGTTTGAATATAGTATGCCTCCAAGAGGTACATATAAAAAAAGATAAGCTCTATTTATTGAATTATAACAAACTGGGTCAATTATATACATCCCTAGCAGAAACAAAAAAAAGAGGAGTAGCTATTTATGTACAAAAACATATAAAGTCGAGGCTGATTTTTGCAGACAAAGACGGGAGACTGCTGATGGTTGAGGTAGAAATATGTGATAAAAATGTCTATTGGTCTGTATATACGCACCAAATGGAAATCAGAAAGTTTTTTTTCAGACCTTGCACTCTAAACTGGTTGAATATGATTACCCACATATCTGTGTAGTGGGAGACTTTAATGCTATAGAGGATAAAAGCAAAGATTATACATCTGGAAAAAGGAAGCAGGAAGGGGAAAAGAATA